AAGATGTATTTAAGGACATTTTGTGTTGAGTGAATGAGAATTCTTTTCATATGTTTGATATATTTATTCAGTTAAGATCCAATATATTCGTTGAACTGAATTGAGGGTTGAAATGTTTAGCGAACAATATTGTGATGACAAAGAAGTGTTGTCTAAGGGTGGTTCTTTATCTTTAAGATCCTTTTTGTATCCGATGTGTGTACAAGAGAACAAGCGGAGAGGGAGAAAAAGAAACTTCCCTTGGGAAATAAAATAGAAATCTTTAAATTATTCTTGTTTTTTTTTTCAAGAGTCCGTTGAATGCAAAACGAGGGAACAATAATTGAACTCTGTAATACAGAATAATTATTTATTATTTAATTTGTCATCAATTTATCCCGGAATACTTAACATGGACTCTTTTGGTACGAATAAAAACCACACATCGAATCTCTTCAATTTGCTAAGATTCGGTACCATATGATGGTAAAATTATTTCATTGTGCTAGAATTTCAATTCATTTGGCACAGATTAAAAGGAAAGCCATTTATGAGTCGGGATAATATTTTGGTATCAGATGTAATCTAGTTTTAACGAGAATTATAAACAGGTAAGGAGTGGACCCATGTTGCCGAACTTCGAACTAGATCTAAGTTTGACGATAATATTACGATGCACAAAGTTTGGATCGAATCGGATCGTCCCTTCGAAAGTTATAGTGCGCACTAACAAGACAGACAAACAGACGGACGGACATACTTAGATCGACTCCAAATGTCCTGAAACGGATTTGGTCCAGAGAGACCTAGGATCCAAAACCTTTGTTTCTATGAGGCACGTTTTGGACGTATCAAATGATTTATACCCACTCTAGCAATATGCCAAATGAACAACGTTGTTCAATACTATTCAATATATCAAGGTATTGAATAAAAATAGTTCTACATTTTCGCAGATTGAAAAACTCGATAAAAATTATACGCACAGGCTTCTACCTTTAATATCAATCTTCATCATTTTTCGTTGAATTCGAAAACCTATAAGTTAAAGTTTAAGTTAAAATAAAGTTAAATATTAAGTTAAAATATGTAATATAACATCCGAATTGGATAGGACACTGCATCTTTAAATTATAAGCTTAAACGAATACTTAAAGTCCTTTGTATACGAACTATGGTCCCATGTAGTGTTTTAATCTATATATATAAATGTAAGTTGTGTTAGTTACTACGCTTATAACTTAAGAACCGCTGGACTGATTTTAAAGATCCACACAAATTCGGATTTGTCTCCTCTCCGAAAAGGATAATATCCAAAAAAATCGCGTAAAAATGTGATATATTAACATTTTCATTTTGACTTTTCAAATGTACAATAGTAATGTTTTATTTTGCATGATTTTTTTCTATTTTGACTGGCTTTTTTCTAATGTACATTTGTAGTGTTTTTTATTTTTTATTTTTGAATTCGAATATTAAAACCAATTTATTTAATTGACTTGATTTCTTGAGAACTGAAATTGATGGCGGGTTACATGGAAGTGTAGTACCGAATTATATGGTGGCGAAACGGAATAGATGATATCGAAATAATTTAACGCGGTCACACCAAAAGAAAGATAATTATTAATTAAAAGATAATTACTTTTTCAAATTCGCTAAAAAATCACGAAAAAGAGATCTCATTGCAAAAATTCTCAAATCGGGAAAAAAATCGAAAAGATTTTCTGTGGAATCGAATTTTAAAATAATAGTAAGGGTCTTTAAACATTTGCTGTAATAAATCAGCGAACAAGTTGAAGATTTTTTCAATTTGCTATTCTTCTTTTGTCATTTTTTTTTTAATTTGTATTTGCGAACACATTTAAACAACCAAAAATGACAGAAAAAGCCTAATGGAGCTCATTTCAAAGCGTGGACCTACTTCTTTCATGTGACAATAATCCGTCCAATGAGAGCTCAAAATGCAAAATTCTTTGGAAGTACAATCAGTAAAATACCAAATTTAAAGGGTGCAAAATAATAGAGCGAATGGGACTTTTAGTAAGAAAAAGATTTCTATCCTTCCAGGAATTCTTCCCAAACATTCAAGATACCATAAATCACTTTTGCAGGTCATGATATCGATCATAACTCACGGATAAGGGTACAACCCGATTTTATATTTATATAACCATCATATGATTTAAGCTATTTTTGGGGTCTTGGCCACTTTTTTCATATTTTGGCCCTTATTTGGCATCTTTGACTCTAAGGGGTTAGGGAACCATCATACAGATAATTGCCACATAGGAATTTATTTAAGTAAAGTCCCCACATTGGAGTATCCCCAAGTCCACTTTCACATATAATGTGTGGTCAGAAAAGAAAATTTTGTATTCTATTGAATTTGTAACTCTCAAGAGAATATTATGATAAAACTATTTTTACTCATTTAAATCACGCGGAATGTTTTTCAGTTTGATATGATATGTTGTTCTGTTAAATTTTTGATTTGGTCTCTATTTGTCATATTGGATTATAAGGGCTAGAAGAATGTTTTCAATGTAGGTCGATGTCTCGGAGTAGTGCCCATGTAAAAGTATCTCCTGATTTTACCATATTTCAAAGGATTTGGCTAAAAATGTGTATTTGGGGGGTGAAAACTTACACAAAAATATGAACATATCTACAAATTTTAGAATTTTTTCCATATAATAGTACCCCCTCAAGTCCACTTTTTGGCGGACAAACAGACCGACATGGTTAGGGGGACTTATAAGAACGCTAATGGACAATCTGAGGTGCTAATGGCTTAAAAAAGTAATTAACTTTGGCTATTCTTAATTCATTCAGCGCTCAATTATGAGGTGTACAAAATACAGCAAATTCCAAATTACTGCTCATTTCACTGGAAGATTTTGCTACGATTTTTACCATACTAAAAATTAATTTGATCCCTTACATGGGGATAAGATTGATATATACTTTTTAATAGATTTGTATAGCACATCCACACCTTTGAAGCCCACGGCTTAAATATGGGTACAGGTATTTTAAAACACTTTTAATCGACCAGTACGGGAACACTTATATCAGTCATATCTGTGAATAATTATACTTTGACAAATATGCCTAATAGACAAAAACTACAGGCCGGCAACGCGGACCGGGCCAGCTAGTGTATTATATATGAGCCCAAAATTTACATTTAGGCTCGTGTCAAAAAACTAGTTTAGACTCATTAGAGTGCCCCTCTCCACGGAAATCTTTAGTAAAAGGCGAAAGATTTATTCGACAAACTGAAGAGAAGCCAGAGTGATCATAATAGATGTGAAAAGATGTATTTAAGGATATTTTGTGTTGAGTGAATGAGAATTCTTTTCATATGCGTGATATATTTATTCCGCTAAGAGCCAAATAAAATGGCGTGAATGGAGGATTGAAATGTTTTGCAAACAATAGCGGCGGCTAAGGGTGGTTCTTTATCTTTAAGATCGTTTTTGTGCCTGATGTGCGTAGAAGAGTACAAGCGGTGAGGGAGGATAAGAAACTGCTCTTCCGAAACAAAATAAAAACCTTTGAATTATTCTTGTTTTTCAAGAGTCCGTTGAATGCAAAACGAGGGAACGATAATTCAACTCTGTAATACAGAATAATTATTTATTATTTAATTTGACATCAATTTATCCCGGAATGCATTACATGGACTCTTTTGGTTCAAATAAAAACCGGACATCGATTCTCTTCAATTTGCTAAAGTGACACCCATTACAAGTCAGATTCGGTACGATATGATGGTACCAGATACCGAAGAAAGATGCACTAGATAGTGGAATTTATGAGTCGGGATATTATTTTGGTAGCAGTGGAAACTAATCATAAGGAGAATTATAAAGTATAGGGTTGTTATGGTTACAGTGACAATTAAAACAACTTAAAAAGTATCAGTCGGTGACTCGCGTTATGATTGTTCAAAATGTTGACCCTTTATGGGGTGGTTCCGAATATTGTCAACATTGTCCATTTCGTATCTGATCTAAAGCTGATATAAATATTACAACATTCCAGATCTGGACATATCGACTACTTTCTTCACTTTATAGGGGATTTGTGATCATTTTTGAAAAATGTTGAAGCATGAGTGAGTTACCAAATATAGAGGATCGAAGTGTTCCACTTCATCTAATATTGATAAAAAGATGTGGATGTGCTAAGTTTGAAACAAAATCAGATATCTATGACCAATTTTTTGGGAATAACATTGCGTTTATTCTCATTATGAAGATATAAGTATTGCAAACCGTGAATTTTTGTGGAAGGTACCAGAAAGAGTAGGATCCGAGTTATGTTTATTCAAAAAGTTGATCCTTTGTGGGTCAACCATTTTCGCAACCAACCTTGGCAATCAACCTGATAAAAATATTAGGATCTCCAAAATTTGCACAAAATTAGGTGATTTCTTACTATATGAAGTAAGTTGTTTTTTATGAAAATTTTAGTAAAGGTCACCCTTAGATCGACTCTAAATTTCCTGAAACGGATTTGGTCCGAAGAGACCTAGGGTTCAAAACCTTTATTTCGATTAGGCTCGTTTTGGCCATATCGAATGATATATTGCATCTGTAGTCATATGGCTGAGGGTATTAAAAACAGGCGCTCAAGGAAATACGATATCCGCAATTAGGTATGATAATTAAATTCTTATACAATATTTCACATAAAAGGTGAGTTAAAATTAATGTTTTTTTAATAAAGAATTTTTCAAAATAGTCACAGATCCTCAAAACAGGAACATCATCAGTTAACGTTGTAATGTAAAATTAAATAAAAAACACTAAACTCTCGTAAAAATTCTTTAATACAGAGGTCCTCTATATCCTTTCATAATATAAGATAATTTGTCAAATAGTTTTTAGTTTACATAATTGTTCTTCCTTGAGGACCAAAATCCATGAATACCTTCGAAATGTGAGTTGCAATTTGATCGAAAAATTACCATTTCAAATTATATATATTCACAATTTCAATTTAATATTCACCTTGTGCACTCCAACAAAATACACCCACAATCACAAATACTACTACACTTGGGAATTTCATGATTAAATACTGATCCTGTTAACTGGTGTTCCTTTTTGGGTCTACGAAATCGGTGTGTGTTCTTGACGACGTTAAAATTGATACTAAAGTTCAGTTCGGTTAATGATACCAAATCACTTTAACTTCTTGGCCTAACTTGGTGTCTGATAAAATCGTATCCGCCAAAAAGAAACTTTTATCAACTCAAAATACGCCGCAACCGCCATCGCCCTGAACCGGGGCCGTAAATACATACTATACTACACCTATCTACCGACCTACCTACCTTCCTACCTGCATGCAGCTGGCTGATTCATAGATGGCTAAAATATTTGTTATTGTTTAAGAATGATAGATTGTTTGCATAAATGGATGGTTATCATTCGAATATCTATTACACAAGACTACAGCATTTCTGGGTGTGCATATTTTTTTGTTTCGTTTACTTCTTATCATTTGTTTTTTTAGTTATCTTGGAAAAACTTAAATGGCTTAAAGGTATTTTATTCAATTAATACTGTGAATATATTTTAGGGGGGGGGGGGGGGGTTAACATCGGCAAAACAGCCTTTGTTGGGGGAAAAGAATGATGTTATCAATATCGTTGAGAAAAGTATTAAGATATCACACATGTCTTAGGAGGTGGATAAATTCCTTGACATTAACTTTAATTTCATTTGGTTTTATTATTTTTTACTTTTTTTACAATGACCTAAAATTATAACAACAAGTGATATGCAAATATTTTTTTAAGACAGAAATCAGTAGGTAGTTAACTGCCACATTAAGGACATGTAGATTTTTGTAATTTAAAAATATATATTTTTTTAATATTTTGAAAACTATTGTTTGTGTGGAACGATTACTAACCAGTGATTGAGTGTTTTGATAAGTTCAAATTTCATTTTATTTAGTGAACTTTTTGGGGAGTGTTATGGACTTTAAATTTGGTTGTAGCGGATTTGTTCGACCTTTTCGATTTTTGTTGTAATAAGCTAAACTGCAACTTCAGGATATCTCCAAGGCATAAATGAATATAAAGATCACAATTTTGACTCTAAAGGAAGTCCTAAATAAAATGGAATAAGAGCTTTTTTTTTAATATGAATTGATAAATATCGAATTTGGCAAAAATGTTTACAAACTGTGTGTGTTCTCTTTAATTGCACTGCTATTGTGTACATATTTTGACTTGGGAAGGCCCTAACATATAAGAGTTACATCTTAATTTCAGACGTTCTCAACAAAATGTTGTATTTAAAGGATATACAGGGTTAGATATTTTTTTTTAAATTTTACTGAATGAAAGCAAACAAGTAAAAAAACATTAAGTTCGGACAAGCCAAACTATTAATACCCTCCACCTTAGGGTAAAGGAAACATTAGAAGAAATGTGGCAAAAACCATTAAAATGCCGAATATCGGGAGGTACCGTTATATGGGGGCTATACCAAAACGTAAACCTATACATTCAATGTTTTGCCACACGCACAGGGACCCATTATGACCACCAAATACCAATTTTCAGATAAATCCGTGAAAAAATGTGGCATAAATCATCAAAATACTGAATATCGGGAGGTACCGTTATATGGGTGCTATACCAAAACGTGGACCTATAATTACAATGTTTCGCCACACTAACTAGGACCCATTATGACCTAAAAATACCAATTTTCAGACAAATTCGTGAAAAAGTGTGGCAAAAATCATCAAAATACCGAATATCGGGAATTACCGTTATATGGGGACTATACCAAAACGTGGACCGATATATCTCATTTTCAATACCAACCATCCTAGACACAATACAAATTATTCTGCTAAAATTTTGACAGACGGATATCGTAAAATCGACTTAGAATTTTATGCTGATTATGAATATATATACATTATGGTCTACGACGAATATTTAGGGATGTTACAAACTCAATGACAAAGTTAATATACCCTCCTTTCCAAGGTGGAGGGTATAAAAATGTCGGAAATAGCATCAAATTTTAGAATAAGTTTAGATTTGTTCGAATTGAGCAACTTTGGCACGAATTATGGCCTTCAAATGGCCAATGAAACCGTCACACGCTGCCCGAATATTGCTCTGCGGTATTTTGGACCATTCTCGGCGAAGCTCTTGCTTGGGGTGATCGACATTTTGGTATTTTTTAGTGCCAACCTTACTTTCCAAAAAACTCCAGACACAATAGTCCAACGGATTGGTATCCGGAGATTTTGGTGCTGGAAATGAAGCGAGGAACCTCATTTTGTAATCATTCTTGGGTGGCGCGTGCTGAGTGCGATGGTGCTGAGTCCTGTTGGAATGTCCAAGGACTGCGGCTAAAATGTTTGTGTGTCCAAGGCTTTATTACATCCTCCAGAATATTTTCGAGATAATATTCGGCATTAATTCTGTAATCTGTATTCTGAAATGTACAAAATGTACTAAATGATACTAAATTTGGTATTGCGTTAACAGATACTACATGAAATCTGAAATTTGGATCACATTTAGTTTGTCGTTTTGAGATTTGGAAGTGGTTTTTGAAATACATACCAAAAATACTGAGTGGTATTAAATTTGACATTTGGGGAAGGAATAGAGCTTCAAATCTTACATTTGTAGTGAATGTCTTTGATGTTGTGAAGGATTTGGAAATATGTGAATGGGCAGTGATAACATTTTTAAATTTGGTATGAGAATCAATTCTTGGGAATGGTGTTGATTTAAGGAGGTGGTTTGTGAAATTTTTACTAATTGTAAGAACTTTACTAAGTGGTACTAAACTTGGTACAATTCAGTTTTGGGTGCACGGAAGAAGTTGGTAATTTAAAATGTTGGTATTAGTGACCCTGTTGGGGATAGGTTTGGAATAAAGAGTTCTAATGAAATGCTACTCATATGGAGTAGGAAGTAAAAAACTTTTTTTATTTTAATTGATTGGGCTTGTGATATATGATAACAAGTAGCATACATACTTTGTTTTCAAAATATGGGAATGAAAACTTGTCCAGCTCATTCCCTTAATACAATAGTGAATATTCCGTCAATAGATATACACATCAAAGCAACTGCGACTTCCAATGCAGCAAGCCTATAAGCTCTATGAATGTAGAGAGATAGAGGTTACGGACGTGCACGTGTGCTTCTCAAACTACTGAGAGAATACATTTTGATCAGCCGTTTAAAATTAAAATCCCAAGCAAAAAGGAATGGAATAACGGCGGCGTTCCTAGCTATGGTTCTTACTTGAATTTAGGTCGTAATGGTTTTGTTGCCAGGGAATAAGCAGACGAACTAGCTAGAACGTAAAATTCTAAGACGATTTAGCCCTGGTCGTCTGTTGAAATCACGCAACAGTCAAAACGAATAAAGATAGGAAGCTAACATTTTGCATATATCAGTTTTTTGTCTGGACGATATTGTATAGCCTCCATATGCCAATATTCGGTACTTTGATGATTTTTCCACACATTTTTTCCGAATTTGTCTAAAAATTAGTATTTGTAGATGACAAAAGGTTCTAGCTCGTGTGGCGAAACATTGTACGTATGGATCCACGTTTTGGTATAGCATCCATATAACGGTACGCCCCGATATTCGGTGTTTTTATGATTTTAACCACATTTTTCAATGGAATTGTCTGAAATTCTACACAAGGGGTTTTTTGTGAATACTTAACCCCCTGAAATGGAATTGTCTATGTAGGACCACAATATGGATGGATCAAATGGATTTTATTTTTTTTGAAAATTTCCCAAATGGTGGAGGGTATTCAAAGTTCGGCCCGGCCGAACTTACTGCTTTTTTACTTGTTAGTACTCAAAATACACAATTTCTTCAGTTTGACATTTTTTTAATCAATACTTCCTATATCGCACTCATGGTACAATAAAAAGGTAAAGTAGAGCTAACAGCTGATCAATTTTTTTTTCTAAGTGTGCCCGACTTCTGCCAATTTTGTGTATGTATTAATTGTTTTGAAAAATGAAAAAAAAATATTTTCAAAACCAATGATTGGAAGACACGTGAATTGCTGCTCGCGCATTAAAGCTATTAACCAGTATAGAAATGAAATTGAAAGATTGAACATTTAGGATTATATTTTTGAGAGATAAATCCAGACATTTTATTCATTTTTCGCGCTATTTAACTCATTTAAAAAAAGAGGAAAAATATAATAAAAGAATAATTTTGAATGAGTCTGACAGGAAGCGGGCATAGTCTCAGGGCTGTATTTTTGTAGTTTTTTGAAGCTGTTCTACCTCTTTATTGTACCATGTATCGTACTAAGCTTTTAGACTTTCAAGGCTTTATATATTATTCACGTTTTTCGTTTTTTGGAAAGAATAATAGGAACATGTTAACCTTTTATACCAAAGAGTCTTCAAAATATTTTTTTGAAGATAAGAATGGTAGAATAAACAAGATAAAGTCATTTCAAATAAGCATATCCATCTCTGCATTTTCTGTAACTTACCTTGTCAAATGACATTGTGTAGTAAACATGTTCCCATCTCTGAATTGTGAGTATACACTGGTATTTACAAATTTGACAATGAATGATCTGCTCCAGAAATGCAAGAATGTGAAATTATTTACTACGATATCCGATTTGCCCTTTATGATATCGAAGGTTCTGGAACAAAGCAGAAATGTTGTCAAATGAATTATTTTGATAAAATTGTAAACATACGAATTGCATGAATTTACCTTCTTAATTATACCATGTGTATAACCTAAAAACCAACAGTTACCTCAATATCAAATTTCAGAACTTCGTCTCAATCCCTTCACCCAACGGCACATTTTGTGGTATTTTGAACTTTTCGCAGTTCTCAAACCACCTCCTCTTAACTACGCATTTTTTCAAAACAATATCCATATCTCAGATACTAACAGTGATCTTAACTCCAAATTTCAGGATTTCAGCTCTGCCATTTCCCCCTTTACCAAATCTAGTACTATTAAGCACAGTTATGGTACGCATATCCAAGCTGGTGTTCCTTCTCTCAACCACAGACACCAACAGTGGCATTCATATCAAATTTCAGGATTTCAGCTCAATCCCTTACCCAATAGCAAATCTTGTAGCATTTACTGCTCTTCGAACAATTATAGAACG